GGCGGCGGCAGCAGCAGCAGCAGCAGCAGCAGCAGCAGCAGCAGCAAAAGTAAAAGTGCAGGTGATTGCACGAGGCATCACCCTTTCATCAGCATCAGTCCCAGCTGCCATTTGTAGCATCCCCATTTGCATGCGTAGGGAGGCACATTACGTAGCCACTCTGATGTGGGAGGAGGGAGCGGGAGAGAGGTGGGGGGGTAAGGGTAGAAATGAGGGAAATGGGGCATTGAAAGTAGGGAGGACGCCGAGGAGAGATTTTGCTGTAGGTTCTGGGATCCACTTGTTCCGTTTGAGCTGTACGAGGGGAAGAAAAGGAGTGGACGGATGGATGTCAGCGATTTGAAGCTTCAGAGGCCCAGTCCTCAACCACAGCTCAATTCACCACAGGAATGCTCGGCCCATCCGCGGAAAACAAAAGATCCCAGTTCAAATGAAAGAAAAATAAAGGTTCCATTCACCCTAATGGGCAGTGGAACCTGCCGAGCACCGAAGACACCACGTTCACCTCCATCTTTATCCCATCAAGCACAAGACCCCCATCGTCCTTTCGACAACAGCACACCAGGAGAGGGTGGGGAGAAAAAAATGGAGAGCATGGAAATAAATAAATAAATTCAAGACTAGATTTTCACCATTTCTTAAAATCCAACAGGAGGAGCTCCTAAGCCCATGTCTGTAGCGTCCATTCATTAACGAGGGGGGGTGCAAACTCCAGTCAACGGCAAATCTCTTTCAACGCTAATGCTGCAGCTGCTCCCAGCACCTCCAGGAAGGGTGTGTGAGTATGTGTGTGCGTACGTGTATGCGTGTGTGCGTACGTGTATGCGTGCGTGCGTGTGAGAGAGAGAGAGAGGGAGAGGGAGAGGGACAGGGAGAGGGATAATGTGTATGCGCGCATCCGCCTGCTGCGCGTGATTCTGCGTGAACATGCATGTGTCTGTGTCTGGGTGATTGAGGCTGGGAGGGGGTGTGTGTGAGAGTGAGAGAGAAAGAAATAGAAGGCAGTGAGGGAAGATCAGCTCAAAACACAGACAAAGACAACGTTGGAAAAACAATGACAACAAGAATCTCAATAAGAAAAGCTGTGAACCCTCTCCCTCTGACCCACTTCTCACCCCCCAACCCCCCAGCCTACGTGTCATGTGTGTGCCACAGAAAGAATGAAATCAAATCACCACCATCTTTCCTCTTCTCACCTGACTCTAAGATCCAATCTGAAGACCTGACAGAACCACAACCACGTGTTCTACCAGTTGAATCAGGAACTAAACAACTAGAACCCCCCGCCCCTCCAAAAAGCATCACTCTAATCTGTCTGCATGTGAGTCCAGACTCCTGCTGACTCACATGTGTGTAGGGACAGAATAAAGACTAAAGTGAGGGTGGGGGGCAAATGGGGAAGGAGTGGAGACAGGACAGTGTCACAACAAATATGTTCCAGTTCACTGATACCAAAGAGAGGAGGATGAGGGACAAGGAGGAAGGAGTGGAGGTGGGTGAGCGACACCACACCAGCCATTTTATTTCTCAGTAGTGCTGCAACAGCCTTTGTTGCCATAGCGACGCAAGCCGATGATCTCATAGCTGTTACCTCTGAGTGCTGTTCCCTTAAAGAGCCAGTTACTCAAGATGGAGAGCAGACGGACGCCACATTGACGAGGACAGAGCGAGAAAGTCACGGAGAAATCCCACTCATCTTAGGAATGATGGGAATTACATAAACATAGAATTCATATGTTTATAATAAGGATGTGAAGCATCAGTGGAACAATCAGTGGCTCATCATCATCCAATCAACAGGCCAGAAGATGAAAGGTCAACTGTTAAGGCAACAAAACAAAATAAACCATCATGAATCAGCAGAGAAGTCGTCTCATTGAGCCAATATTTTGTGATTTTTGTTTGAAAATGGGGCATCATTGTAACTACTGTTGGAGGTGTACGGCTCCCAAGAACTAAGGCGCTCGGCACTATTAGTAGCTAACAAACTGGCTGGAGGCAGAGAGTTCACATGCTTCACTGTTACTCATTAAATACACAACTTAATTGAACCTGTTTGCATTCACTCATTCACACGTTCCAGGACATTTAACTTAAGAAAAACTCTGTTGTCTATGCATGGAAAATGTGTCAGTATTTCCCAGATTTTCCTGACATAGGTCTGTGGTCAGTGTGTATGTTGCCCCCTTCTGGTTACTGAATGCAGTATGAGAGCAGGAGATGACGACAGTTTGGTTTTGTAGTTTTAGTCTGTGTTGACACAGTTAGGGTCAAAGCGTTCATTGAGCTAATCTAACAAAAGCAGGAGTTTCATTGTCCTTTTGACCCATAACCACCAAATTCCTTAGCTGGTGGTCTTCCCTCAAGTGGAACAAACATGTCAACACGCTTTTCAAGGCACCCTTCTCAGAGCACTTTGTCTGACACTCAACCAAAAGCGTGTGGCTGTTGACTGATCTGACAGGAAAATACCCCAAAAACTAACCCTTCCCACAATTCTCTGTTGGAGCCTTGTCTTCCTCTCAGTGGAGGAATCAGGTGGAACACAGTTCAGAAGTGTTTTCCTGAACAAACGTTCCACTTTTCCTTCCTCGGCCGCTACGCTCCTCCCAGTCTATTGTTTACAGCCTGTAAACGGATACAAAGTCTCTGAGTTATCAGACAAACTGGGATTATTCAGAAATCAACCACTGAAAAATCCTTCAGTGTCATTTAACAATTTTTTTTTTATTGTACACAAGACCTGAGCACAGGTTTGACCAGGCAGTTTTGTACAAAAACATACATGTATTTAGGTCATTGTCAAATGTCTTTCTCATTGTCATTTTAAACATCTGTTTATCTGTTGTGGTGACAACCTGATAAACACAATAAAAACAACTCTTCAATACTGGTTTCTGAACAAAGTTATTTTATTTTAGCATTATTATTATTAGCTCCATCAGTACAGGCGTCACAGGGATTGGTGAGTTATTAGCTTCACAGGACAAACATTCCACAGTTTATCACTGTTTGTTTTCCAAGTGTCTGGGAAGCTGATTGTGGAAACCTGCACTTATTCATTTAGGTTCTAGTCAACATGTGTCAAACTCAGGCCCGAGGGCCATATCGGGCCTGCAGTGTAATTATATTTGGCCTGTAAGATCATATCAAATGTGTACTAGAGTTGGCTCACCAGTATATAGTCCTTTATACAGGTAGGATTTGTAGTATTAGTGGTGTATGTGCTATGTTGTAGCGCATTTATTTTGTTATTTTGTTGTTGGTCTGTGGAAAAAAAAGTGATATTAAAAAGGAACTGGAAAGGCTACAGATATAGAGACAGAATAAGAAACAAATATCCCTGATGTGTGTTTTATTTCAAATTCAACGTGTTTATAATATTAACCTTTAGTTGTTCCATATTCAATGTTTAGGAAAAGTTTGTTTGTACATTACAGATCTGGAGAGAAGTTTGGTTGAGACTTCATCCCACTTCTTAATTTTGTCCCAGTGTTAATTTGAGTTTGCCCCACCCCACCCCAACCCCGTTCAAGTCTGTCACCTTTTTTAAAGCAGCTAAAGGTGGAGTGATCACCTGACCACAAATCAACCAACAGTTTATAAACAACCAACAGAATTTAGACTCATGAACGTCATCCACACTTTTTTCCTTTTTATCAAAATACTGTGAAAACCCATGAGACATCCATGTCCCCCAGTGGGCACGTCATCATTATTTTACCACCTGGCTCAACCAAAGCATCATTGTCCTTGTCTAACCAGGATGTTTCATAATCAATATTGGCGACTGCTTGTCTGTGCATGCACTCACACACGGTGCACATGTTAGATGTGATGGCTCCAATAACTGTTCGACTCACCGACTGCCTGAAGTCACTGCCTGCACAGGGAGTGAATGATGGCCAGAGGACAGTGAGTAGGAGTGTGGGAATGTTGAACTGAACTCTGATTCACTGAGCTGACGGGTGAGAAGGGGGAGTTCAATCAAACCTTCCACCTATCACTCAGACTCATCATACTCGTTATTATACCAGAACCTCAGGCTGGTATAAAAGGCACTTGTATATTATTATCATTATTATTACTGCTTCACTGCCAATAACCAGAGTTGAGGACAATTAAAAAAGGTGTGCACTGACACCATCAGTGTAGATTAACTTCAAATAGGTGTTTAGTTCATGGGGGGAAAACCCGTCAACCTGTTCTTGACACAGCTCTGGAAAAATGTGTTGCAGAAAGTTGCAGGAATGAACGAAGGTTTCTCATCAGATTTGTTACATTGAGTCTGTTTGAACTGTCTGTATAACAACAACAACAATACAACATAACACAATAAGCCTTAACAAATCAACTGCATTTCATGAAATAAAAGCTGCTTTAAGAAGTTGGAAGAACCAAACTGAAATATATATATATAATATAAAGTATTATATATATATATATATATATGTAAATATATATATATATATAAACACTATATATATATTTGTATATGTATAGTTGTTATGTGTAGCTGTTGAAAGTCAGATATTGTATTATATTTGGCCTTTTACAGTCAATTATGACCTCTAGGCTACTAGAAACATAAATCTAAGACAAACAATAAATAATTTCACGTTGCTCAGTAAAATAAGGCTAACTCAAGGCTAACTTTAGCATAGCTTGTAGGCATAGCTTTTTGTAACTTTTTTGCTGATGTCCCACCATATAAATAGAAAACAATAGGAAATACCAGTGGCATGCACCAAATGAATGAGGGATATGATTTAAAATTGCTGTTTGGATTCAGCTCTGGCAGCAGGAACATTAGCTAATATTTGTGTTATAAGTGTTATATAAGTTATATAAATATAAGTTATATAGATATAAGTGTTAATTTTTAATTCACAAACACGAATTCTTGCAGGTAACAATTCTGTTTTAATGTCGCTATTGGTATTTAAATCATATTTGATATAATGACTGACACTTATTTTACAATGAATTGTGGTCGCGAATCGCTTTCGCAGATTTATATTGAATTGAATTGGTTTATATTTCTATTCGTAAATAATTATGATAATATAAGAAATCCCGCTGTCTCTAGAATGTGTCTTTGTGGTCCAGAAACTTCTACGTGAAATACAAACTTGTCATATGGTGAACGTGTCACCCACCGATGCACTTGATATGGAAGCCCTGCGGCGGTGTCAGTGCGCGCCTGGTCCATCCGTTTCTCAGGACCTGGAGGTGAACTTCTTTGCCCTGGATCAGCAGGACATGTTCATCGATCCAGCCCAGAAAGAAGATCTCAGACAGGGCTCGGGTCAGAGACTTGTCCCAAAAGTGCTGCATGTTGACGGCTTTGAAATTAGCGAAAACCTCGTAACCTACGTTGTGCTGTTGCTCGAAGTTAACGGAGAGCACGGCCCGTGGGGTCACCGCGGTCAGTGATGAAGAAGATTGCGAGTCCTCTCCATCTTCATCTGTGGAAATGTGCGACAGAACCAGGGCCAAGGAGTGTGGGGCAATCTGAAGGGATTTATCCATGCTCAAACTCTAACGAATTCAAGGAAAAGTCTCTTGCCGTTTAGGTGTGAAGCGTTGTTTACCCGATCTCATTAAAGCTGTAACAAGTCCGAGTCTGAAAGAAAAAGTTTGAAGCGTCAGGTGTTGAATCGCACGAGCAACCTGACACTGTGGCCACTGAGTGTTGAGAGACCACAGTCTGTGACAAAGGAGGCGAGGACTTGTGCTGCGTTCAGGTGTTACTGGAAAACTCTATTAAGTTAATGATTTAGGATTTAGCATCACCTGGTGGCGAACTCACATTACGTGAATTAATAACCCTATGCCTCACAATTCCCACACAAGTGATAGCAGTTCACGTCATTCTCAGACACTTGTGTTAATGTTATGTTAACATAATGTTATGTTCATTATTCGGAGAAATAGAAAATACACGAAGAACCTCTTTCACTGCTTCGGTTTCTTTTTAATAGCAATCTACTGCTAGCTAGTGGACGACTATGTCATTTTTCTGCCAGTCCTTGTAAAGACAAATATATATTTGTATATATTATATTAATATATAATATTTTTCAGACCAATTGAGTGAACTGCATAATTTCCCACGGCTGTTCTACAGCACAGGTGTTCAATGGCGAGTCTGAGACTCCCGTAGGTCTGCAGGGGTACTGCAGGTGGGCGAGCAACTTTGGCTGCTTAAATTTCTTTTTGTCTCGCCTTCTTTTTTTATATAAAATCAATATGTGCATTATTTAAATAGCCAAGTACTAAATTCAACTCAACACAGTAAGTTATACATGGCACAGGGCCTGGTTCAACGACACACTTTGAAGTAGTGTAAGGGTGGTTTGAATTCTTTAGATCTTAAAACAGTTTGGTAGATCTGTAAACGGTGAATAATGGTATTTATTCTTCAAAAAACACAAACAGTGTAGCTGCTCACACAATATAATTTACAGCAAAGTCAATAATTCACATTCACAGCAAAATGTAACACAATTCTAACTGTAACATTAATGAGGTCATCAGTGTGATATACATAAATGTCTATATGCACAATCAAACATGTGTTGAATGATAATTTAACACCAGTTGTTTGGAAAAATGGCCAGGACCTGAATTATGGACAGAAACGATGTTTCATCATAAATCAGTCACATCTAAAGTTTTAATCTAAAAGGCTGTGACACAGATGACCTGACTTTACTAATAGACACTGTGGATGTGTTTGTAATCAATTACCAATAATTGTTTTTTAAAAAATTGTCTATTAAGACAAATGTGGCAAAACTTCAGCCATTTAAATTGTAAGTTCCCAAAAATTACAAAATGCTACGTTTCTAATTATTTGCCCCTGATTGTGATAGTAAACATGATTAGTCAAAATCAATTATCTGTCCACAGTTTTTCAACATTATGAACAAAAGGGTTAAACCTGTTCTGTTTTGTCACAGGTATTCTGCTACAGCAAAAATATGTACATTTATATAAGAATTCAAATTTTCTCACTTCTCTGAAATGTTGTTTCGTGTAAACAACACAAGTCATCTTTTATCAACAGTTTTAAATTTGCTGGTTTTCATGTTTGAACTTCACTAAGTACACGAGTGGTGTTCACTACACACTAATCTAAACATTTGATAATGCCACATGTAAAAACAGCACCTCAGCCAAATTGACTCTTGTAATCACAAGAGTGTGACATCACATCTCTCCTCCCATTTTCACTCATGATGTGTAAATGAAAACAAAACATGAAGCATACTCCTGAGCTTTTGGACAGCAGAGAGAGCTCTGTCTGAATGGGTTCTCTTTGTGTGACAAAAACATCAAGGAAAGAAATACATCTCTTTGGTCAGCATCGACATGATGCATGGGATTTGTTTCTTGGCATGAAAACCTGGTGAATTGGAGACGGACTCAAACTCTACTGCCACCTTATGGTTCACGCGTGTCATTATGTGCTGGAGCTCCAGCTCTTGTCCATATTGACTGATCATATCACACAAAGACTGGATGAACCAAGAGCCAGTCATTGTGTTCCTCCATGAATAGTAGCCTGTGGAGACAGGTTTGGAACATTAAGATAATAAAACGTAATATTGACTTTTTTTTTACACTTAACAAAAGATCCTTTAACCATAAGCATACTTTTACATGTATGCATTTAGCAGATGTTTTTATCCAAAGCGACTAACAGAGGAGGATTAACATTATGTGTTTTTTTTGGGAATAGAACCCATGACTCTATGCTCTCTGCAAAATTGTTCCCTCATTTTAAAGAGTGTAAAGTTGATCCTTGTTGGAACATTTTAAACCCAGTTCCTTCATCAGCCTCTCACTCGTATGCATCTGCAAACTATACTTTTCTTAAAATTGCTTTGTGGACCTCAATGACTTGAGTTTTAGTCTATAATTATTTTTACTGACTGAACGGACAGTTGTTACAAAGCTTCTATGTTGCATTCCTTCTTTTGCCTTTAAGTGATTAAGCGTATTGATACTCTAAGACAGTGGAGACAAACTCAAATTTACAGCGGGCCAAAATTAAAGACTGGGACAAAGTCTCGGCCAAACACACTATTTATTGAAAAATTGTGCATGTTTTTCCTTCTCTCCAGATCCTTAATGTAGAATTTTTTCATATGGAAACAAACTTTACTTTTGCATAAACATTGAATCTGGAACAGGGTTAGTTGGAACAACCAAATGTTATTATTATAAACACATGAGAAATTGAGTTTGAAATAAAACACATCAGTGGTATTTGTTTCTTATTTTGTCTCTTTATCTGTTGCCTTTCAAGTTTTTTTTAATGCAAACCTTTTTTTCCCTCAGACCAACAAAAAATGTATGTGTTATAACATAGCACACACACTGCTAATACTACAAATCCTGTCTGTATATGATATGATCTTCTGGGCCAAATATAATTACACTGCAGGCCAGATTTAGCCGCCAGATCTCAGTTTGACGGCTTGATTCCTTAGAATCAAGCCATCTGCTACAAGCAGACATCACTTTTTTCCTTTCTTTCATCTGTGCATCACTTAGTCACTGCTTTTGTAACAGCGTTAAAAACTTTAAGTAAAGACAATTGTGACTATGAAGATATAAAATTATCAATCAGCAAATTGAAATTTTGATTCTCAGTACAAGTATTTTTCTACATCCCCAAAGATCAAAATGAAGTCATGAAATCAACTTATTCTATATTCAATACAAGAAGAAAGAAAAAGGAATGACTCAAAACACATGTATATAATCTATGTCAACTAAGAAAACTGACCTGGGGCTGTGGAGAAAGCATAGAGGAAGTCAGCTTCCACAGGGATCTTTGTGGTCCCGTCATCTACACTGTCTGTTTCAATACCAGGGTCAAGGTCAGTGCCTCTGCAGGCCTACACAACAGAGAGAGCAAGAAAATACAATTAAAATGGATGTTTAGAAGAATTAAATGACAGCTTTAACTTGCAGCCGTGCTTCAAATACCTGGATGAAAAACAGTTTGGGTTTCCCGACCAATGACTTGCATCGATCACCCCGGAAAAGTGAAGTCAGGAACTTTAGATCCACAGAGCCATCGGTTCCAAAGAACACACCTTCATCTCCATGGCTCAGCAACACACAGACAAATGAGGCAGAATCGCTGTGATCTTCCTTTGAGGCTGAAAAACACCATGTATTCAATGTGCCTGGACACATACTGTATACATCATTTGGAAGATTAATTCATACTGTATCTGAACCCACCAGCTGTTAAGATCTTAACCATCTGGTCGACTGTCTGATCATTGAACACCTTCACCTTATAACCCAACTTTGAGAACACCTTCAGCGCATTGGCTGCATCTACGTCTGTTCCGTTCCGCTGATTCATGCCTTGAGAAAAATACAAAAGATTTGTTTTGTTCAGGAGAACAAACAACATGTAAATAAATGTATGCAAACAGTGCAAGAAAATGTAACAATTGGATTGTGCGAGTGAATGGATAGATATACACATCATATATATATATATAT